CTTCATGTGACTTACAAGTACAACATAGCATCTAATGATTACATAATTCCGAATAATATTTTTTATAGCAAGTGAGTGGAAGCAACCCTGCTTAAAACAATGGTTTTTTTTCCTTGATTTGTTTTCCGTTGATCTTGTTTTCCGTGCTGAGCACCAATGCTACCGACGCCAGGGAGGCAGCTCCCACACCTGGACCCTACCTATCAACTCATGAACCGGGGACCAACGGCTTTACTTCCCTTCCGAAGGAAGGCGTGATCAGAGATGTTATGCCTCAGAACATCCCGGTGGTGCCAACTGGGATTTAACCCAGGCCTGCTGGGGTGAGAGGTAATCACGCTTACCTTTACACCACTGGCGCTGCTAGCTTAAACTATGTTTAGCAAAAAGCCCAATAAATTTCCATAAAGCTAGCAGCTTACAGTTTATAAATCAGACACATGAGCAACGAAATAATAAATCATGAATAAGGATAGGTGCAACCTTATCGGGTTATCGTCTCAGTCGTGTGGAATATGATTGAACCATTTATAATATCACTCGCATATAGTACTTCTTCAATATGGCATCCATTTCATTAATAAAATGGGAAGCGGGACATTTCGCCAAAGGTCATTTTCTACTGTTTTGAACTTTTCTCAAAGCGCAGTAAATTTTGAAATCAGTCATGGAAAAAGATGAAAAAGGTTCGATTGTTTCAACCTGGTAAACTTTTCAAATGTAATGCTCCCTTATTTTGAACATCATCAGTTTACTCGAATTGTAATGAGTTTGTTATTTTCGAAATAATCAATATTTTATATCAGAATTTCTATCGATTCATTTTTTCTATTCATATTTCCAATCCAATGCATATCCTTTTCTAGCAATATCTTTAACAAACATCAAAGGGAGTGCTTTACATGGGAATATGTATTATTTAAATCAAGAGCCACATGTGAAAAGGTAATACAAGCTTTTTGTAAACAAATCTTTGTAGGCCCTCTTCTCGCCAACCGAAGGTCGCATTTAATGCGTTGCAGATTAATTTTAATTGTATATTAATTTAAGAAATGACCCATTTGGTAGAATTTCCTTGGGCAAAATGTCCTTTTGATTAAAAAAGGAAAGTATGTAACACAGAAGAGGTACGCAGAGAAGTCGGAGGATGAGTAGGCTTTTCGATTAAATATAATCAAAAGATTGTTTTCAAGTAACAATTTGCCCCGTAACGTGGGTAGATCACCTTTTCGTGGTACGTTACGGGATGTAAGATCTACCACCGATTCCTAGTCCTGACTACTTCAAACTAGGGGAACAGGATTTCTCAGTATTCCAAGGAACACATCTTAGTCCTTGTTACTTTTTATGCCTTGTTGATAGTGACAAGACTCGGCTTTGTCTACCGAGGATGATCTTGAAACAAGGAAAAAAATGAGTTAATTGTCTTCATCTATGTGATTCCTAATCTTCTATTCGTTGTTCCCTAGTTTGAAGTGGTTAAGACTAGTGTTCCGGTGCATGGTCATTATCGGTGTCATACCTTAATGTTGTTGCTAAGGAATCCAATTTTGACTGACAAAGGGGCGCGCTTTTGGAGAGTGTTTCATCATTCCGAAGGGTATAAATAGCGGAACCTTTCAATTAGAGTCGGATCCTTGCGATAAATTCAAGAATTACAACTGTAATAAATCGAATACTTCATCATTTCTCAATAGTGATGGAGTTATACGACATGCACTAAACTAAGGACACGGGATATACTTCAAAAGATCAATTTACTGGTCACAATAGTGTTAGGTCCCGAACAGAGGAAAAAAAAGTAAAAATTTAAAATTTATTAATGTTTATTTGCGTTTAAAGGTGTATTTTAATAACAAATATAGATTATATTATTTCTCTTTCTTAAAGAGATTTTCAGCCGTCGGCTGGTTCATCTCTGTTTACAAATAAAGATGAATGATCTGTTGTTGGGTTATGCTATAGTTTTTACAAATGAGCACTGTTGTATAAAATCACGGAACGGAGCAAAATATCGCCGTAATGTTTTGATGTCTCTGGAACTTTCATCTTCTGCCATGTTATACCAAAAAAAAAAGACACTTTTGCATGCCTGTTCGCCATATATTCCCAACCCTGATCCTGCAAATTTGCAGAACTCTGGAACATGGAAGCGTAAGATATGGAACCTGGAACTATTTGGTAGTCCTGCTTGAATTCAGCTGTCTGCAAATTCTTCAATTCTATGAAGATATCCAGAAATAAATTTTTATTTTTGAAGGCAAGCTGTGAACGCCTCTGCATAACGGTCAAATAACTACAAATAGTCACTTAATTAAGTTAATGATAATAAGAGAAGAGTTAAGTATCGCGAAACAGTTGAAAATTGCCGTTTTTACCGTTGAAGAGGTTCTCAAGTAGTTCCGTAAACGCAAGATTGTGATACGGAAGGTTCAAAGCAAACGTCATGCTGAAACTAAGTACCGTCCGGAGGATCCGTCTGCGAGCAGGTTACCGTTCATTTCGTGCCGCCAAGCAACCAAACAGGACGATGAAGCAGAATCTAGTGGCCAGAACACACGTGCCCGGCAGTTGTACTACAGGGTTCTGACGAAGTACAGGGGATGCCTTCTCATGGACGACGAAACCTATGTCAAGATGGATTTTTGGCAGTTTTCCGGACAAAAATGCTATCTGGCTTACTACAAAGGACTAGTGCAGAATAAGATTGCATCAAGGATGCACGAAATAAGCTCAAGTTTTGGGAGAATTATTAGAACTTGGTCTAGAATCTGTTCAGCTGGAAGGGACATCATCGATATCTAAACCCTAAGGGCATCCCACTCTAAACTTTAGTTCTAATATCAATTAAATATTTTTAAATCTGTCATAAATATTCTTAAGTATTTTTAAGTATTTTCAATCCTGGATAGTTTTCATCGTAGTGACCGGTTGTTAGTATAGTTGTTTGTTGTTTTAACTTGGACGATTTATGAATTTTCGTCTAGAATTCAGTGGAATTTATACTAATTTCCCCTGTTTTAATTTAAATTATATGTGTAATCATGTTAATTAATGGGTAAGTATTATAATTTGATTTATGAAATAGTGTAACAAAGGAAACATTTTTTTAGCTAACCAGGTAGAATATTCACTGGACTGTTTTCATTCATCCGATTCGAATTACTGATTTATTCTTACTGACTGTTCCATGCGCTACCAAACATTCAGATTCCGAAGGCATTAAAGGACGTCAAACTGGCATTATTCTAAGCTGTCCAATAAAATCACTAAGGTCTTAGAACAAGAGTTTCCTTCATATTATTTCGCCTCAGAACTGTAAAAGTTTTTGACAATGCTCAAGCAGATCAAATCAACCGAAGCTATGCTGCTCATTTGTTAGTGAGCCACGATAGTGAAGCGTACCATTTACAGTTGCTGCAGCTGGAACTATTCGTTGGGATGGTGGACCTCCCCATACTGCCACTATTTTAGGAGCATATATTGCTGGATTACGCCATACTGACGAGAAAGTTAAGATAGTATCCTACTGGAAGTCAATGATTTTTTTAAAACTCTACATAGATTTCGTGCTGTTAGGTTTCGTATGATGATTGAGGATACCAAAACAGTCGCTTCGTTACCTTTATGTTCTATAGAGGCAACCAGATGACTCGTGCGACACGATGAAATAAATGAAATAAAGTCTGCCAAGTTTGTCAAGAGGGAATACACATTTTAATACTGTGAAATAATAATTAAACAATTCTCACAATAAAAAGAATACTTCATTAGCTTGTTTGTATTTAGCATAAATAAATCCAAAGCTAATTTGTATAAATTGATTCCAAAATAGTCCATATTAATGTTTTAACATACCACAAACGTTTCTGAAAGTTTACAGCAGTATTTTCAGACCGTGGAGCATGCTCACTGACCTCATATACGCGGTACACGATTTAAAAACCTAGGGCCTATAGAAGCAGTAATTAAACTATTCCAAAATTATGCATTTCGATCTTGTCCAGACTTGATAATCGTTTAGAACATCGATTCTCAACGTTGCCCCACCAATCAGCTCGGTCTACATCGCCTAATTCCTTTTATGTGCATTTCGTTCAGTGGGGGTTCGCTAACTCCAGGTTGTTTAGAATAAGAGCGTCGAAGGTTCCAAATACTATAAATTATCTTCTACTTTTAGAAAAACACATTCGGCTGGAAGCTATGAGATGTGATTCTCGGGAGGCTAAAATAAGGTGCGAATGGTGTGGAAAGCCTCCACAGCTTCTAATTCAGCTCCGATCAGCCCAAACTAATTCAGTTGGTGTCACACTGTCAATAGCCTAATTTTCACATATTGCACAATGATGGAAATAAAATCAACGAGGAACGGGTGGAAGATTCACACGACTATCAGCTAGACAGAGCTAGACCATCACGTGAAATGTTTGAGTGCTAGCATAATGCGTGGCATAATTCAATTTGTTCTCGAAATTGAAGCCATAATCGGGATAACATTCCGTCATTTCAAGGCAACAAAAATGATTGAATTTCTTATAAAGGATAGGTACTTTCAAAATGTTCGCTAAAAAATGATAGACGATATTAGATAAGCAACTGTGGTAACCTAGGTGGTAATAAACTAACGCTAAATATTTCGTAAGTATTTTTAAATATTTCCGGGTATCTTAGATATCAGTAAGAACTTTCTGTGTAGAACGCGAGAAATACAAAGTTTAGAGTGGGATGCCCCTAGTCTAAACCAGTATATATTTTCTTAAGTGACAAAATGAGAAATACATTTTTTTCCAACAAAGCGTGCTATGAAACCTTAAATTGAATCAATCTTGCCACCGCAGTCACGATCGCTCAAAAAAGCTTCCGAATTTATTTTTAAATATTTTACTACCGACTACTTACAGCGGATTCGTACCTGTAGTACCGCTATTCATACCTACCGTCATTTATGAAGCTAAGTTTCCACCAATTCCCATCACACCCCTCTGAAGACAGCTACCGCGATGGCTACTTTGGATACAGAAATCCACATAACCGAGCTCCCGATCGAAGTGTTGGAGCACATTTTCTCTTACCTCCGGCTGGCAGACCGCAAGTCAGTCTCCCTAGTGTGCCAACTCTGGAACGAACTGATCTTCTCGCGTCGATTCATGCGCAACGTAGCCCTGAACATCGTCATGGATTGGGAACACTCGCAGATCTCCGTTCTGAAGAGAAGCACTCGCCTCTACCGAAATGTTTTTGCATTCTTCGGGCCAGAAACGTGCTGCGAGTTTGATTTCACTGTAATCATCGAAGTGCTGGATTTATTTGGTGCAACCTTGGAAAGCTTCCATTGCATGACCAACTTTACCATCGATCAACTCTGGAACGTTGTCACTCGAGCCCCAAATCTTCGGCAGCTGATAGTGGGAGTGGACGCCGCGAGCCTGAATCTGGATCTACCTGATTTCCCAGTGCTGCAGCATCTGAGTGACATGGGCTCGCTGATCAACGTGCTACGGATCGTAAAGCTGGCCGTTCCAAACTTGAAGCAACTTAGTGCAAATTTCATCAAACCGGATGATGCACATGAATCACTCCCGTTTCTACGTCAAGTCGCTCCACGGTTGAAGAACTTGGAACTATTTTCAACGGAATATTTCATCCCGATCAACGAGCTCCGATTTCCCGAGGTGGAAGTACTGAAATTATGCGGACGAATCTGCAATGCGAGCGATGGTGTGCTGAAGCAATTTTTCCTCGGGTTCAAGTGTTTGACAGAAGTCTATCTGGACTTCAGCGTCAAGGGACCAGTGCTTGATGTTATCACCAAGGATTGTCCGGAAATTGTAAAATTACACTTCAAGACGTATTTGTTGGATTCAGAGTCGTTCCGTTTATTGGAGCGTCTGAAGCGCTTGAAGGTGAGTTTGACTGAATATGAAGATGATAACATTGAAAGCTAATATGAAGATTTTTCACCCCACAGACCTTAAGCCTTGCCGGTAGCATTGACTTCCGAACCACATCGGAATGCAAGCCCTTGGTAAGTGTGGAACAGCTTAATTTGAAGATGTGCAACCTGAACCTGGAGGCTGGAGCAATTGAAAGCCTCCGTCGGGTACTGCCGAACGTGATTTGCATGAATGTTACATTCATGACACTTTCGAGACCCGAATTTATTCTAGTTCATGTCTGTCGGAATTTTCCACATCTAAAACGACTCAGCATTTCCGACGAAAACGCACAGTATCGAATGTTAAGCAGCAAACTTTTCCAGGCCTTGAGACACCTGGACCAGCTGGAGGAACTAACTCTCAAGTGCATTCACACGCCGGTGGCGTTTATGTTGTCCAACAAAAGCCTGAGGCGGTTGAAGATCAAGTACTTCCACAACCTAACGGATGCAGATTTGTACAAGCTGTCGCAGATGTATCCAAATTTGAAATATCTGGAGGTGGTATGGTGTCGGAAGATAACGCAGTCGGGAATAGCAAAGTTCCAATCGCAACTGACGGACTGTGTGGTGCATCACTCGAAATTGTAGATGGTTTTCATTTTTCGTATGTATGTATAGGAAATATATTTGATTGTATTTTGTCGTAGAATACTTATGCACGGTTGTACTTTCATTGATAAATCGATAAATTACTAGGATTGTGGGTGATCATTACCCGAGCAAAGTAGAATAAAAACCCGATATCATCTAGATAACAAGTCTTGTTATCCCAGATATCATTTTGTTTTCAGTTGTTATCGCATAACTTATTTAGTTATCAGCCATGATCAATTTAGTTATCAGTTGTTATCATGAAAAATTCACTATATATTTATTAACGATGCAAGCTTAGTTCAAAACTTAAAATATTATTTGCACTGAAACAATAAAAAATAGTGCTTTTAATCCCTAATCATATTTCAGTTATCAGCGTGAGGCTTTGATATCAAAATGATAACATGATTTGAAATTTATGAAATAAATTTGAATGGCTTACAGAATTTGTTATCAAGATATTATCAATGATAACAAAATTAGTTGTTTTTGTGATATTCAACGAGCAATTTTCTGTTATCATTTTTGTTATGTTGGCTGTTAACTCAACCATAATGATAACATATTCAGTTAGCAAAAAGTGATAACCGAGTAATAGAACTTGTTATCAATTTGATATTTTACTTTGCTCGGGTAGAGTGATGCAAAATTTGAAATTTTCACTCCACTGTGTTCAAATGGTTTCAATTCGGGTCCTGATTAACCTCCGAAAGTTTAAACTCATTTGATTAGAAACTGACTTGGCACAAACCATTTGAAGTTTACATGGAAATTACTATGGGAAACAAAACGTTTTATTCATTGTATTCTAGCCTTTTTACATATTGTACTGTTAACAAATTCTATTGCTATTCTTATGGGAATTTTTATCAGCTACAACTTTGCAGAAAATCGTTTTTCAGCCAAACGACAAATTAAATAGTTATTAATTGTTTAAGAGATTACTAATCTTATGCAAGATTAAGCAACTGTATTGTGGGCAACACTGTATTCTGCAGTGTGACATAGTAGCCATTATTTTTGTCCTCTATTGTACGCGCCATAAACACCAATGTTGCCTGCTGAACACTTGATTGAGCATAATCATAAGACATGAGTGACTTGAATCATTAATAATTTTTGTTCCTTACATTTGATCGAAAAATAGTCTTGAACAAAGTTGTAGCTGTGAAACTTTTCAACAAGCTCAGTTTTTATTTTCTAAAGTAGAGTGAACTGGTGAATTTTGGTATGAATATGAACCGAAATTTTGGTTTCTCCATAGTAATTCCCATGTCATATCGGTCCCATATGTATTTTCGTAAATTTTTAGATAACAACGCTATCAATGTGCACCTGTTGTCATCTTATGTGATAAAACTACGGACTTTGATCATGGAAAATGTGAAAACAACATCAACATCCATCTCATACAAGATAGATCAGAATCAGCCAGTGTGCGTTTATTCAATCTAACTCTCACTGTCAGGCAGTGTTTTTTTTGGAAAAATATGTTTGCAAATATTTCACAAATTGAAACGCATAATGTGGGGTGTGTTTACAAAGATTCAAGAAATACACACGCACACACAAACATTTTCGCGGTTTTAAATATTGATTCATATTTCTTTATCGTCAAATTTAAAATTGATTCAATAATTATAATTGTTTGATGGTTAAGAAGTGTTTTTACAAATAACAGTCTTAAGAGGTGTCTCAGAAAGTATGAGTTTATTATTGGAGTAAAACAACAATAATAATGTACTCAAATGTTTATTTCAAATATATCTTTCAATTGGATAAAAATAATCCGCAGTTCCTTCAATTGTATACCAAGGAGCAAACTTTTGATCTGAAGCTGCCCATGAGCTTTAGCACAGATTTCTTGGCGAAAAATTTTGTCCAGTGTTTTTCAAATTCTTCGATTGAATTCGCTACCTTAAAGTGTTTCCGTATATATCCCTTGGAAACGGCCTCGAAACGATTCGAAGGATTCATCTGTTTTTGCACACACATTGCACATTGTTTGCTTTGTACCAAGCTACCGTGTCTTTTGAGTAGTGACACTTAATTGAACCAAAATAGTACTGGGCCATCATGTTGAGGGATCATGGGCCGCAGACGCCGATTCAAACACTTTGGAACGTAAACTTCAATGTGCATCGTCTCCTTCGTCACAAATAGCGTTGACAACTTGCATTACTCACGTTATCGCTTGTCAAACCTTGGCCTTCTTAGCAAATGTTTCGGTAATAATTGACCTGTCGGCATAGTCAACTTCCTGACCATCACGGACTGTGTAGTATTAGTCTCCCGGAAGAGTCTTGTAGTCAAATTTGACGTACGCACATATCGTCTATAATAGACGAACGCTTGCGCAAAAAGACTAGGGTGGGAAAGGGGGCCTCATAGCCTAGTCAGTAAAGGCACGGTATTAGCATGCCGGAGGCGGCGGGTACGATTCCCAGTCCGGTCGACTTTCGGGTTGGACATTTTCTCGACTTCCCTGGGCATAGAGTATCATTGTGCTTACCACGCAATATACAAATTCATGCATTGGTATTGGCATCGAAAGCTCTCGATTAATAACTGTGGAAGTGCGAACAAGAAGAAGAAGAAGGGAAACGGATTTGAAACTCAAATGTCATTAGCCAAATACATCCATAGACCATATACGTCCACCGTTGTATAATTGGGAATGCACCCGTGTACTGAATGGGAATTGTGGATTCAAATCTCACCGGTGCCCTTAGATATTTCGCAAATTTTCTCACAAACACGTCTCTTACCGATGATATGCGCTTATCTTGAGCAGAGGCACTTTTCTTATTGACGAAAGCTTGGGTGATCTTCTGGTTCAGTTTGCAGTCCCCCAGTCCCGGTTTACAGCCAGATTTCGCTGTGTCCTTGAAGGTAACTTTTTCACCGAACTTCCAGATGGTAGTTTTCAATGCTCCGATACTTACTTCCTCCAGTTGCGCCAACTTCCTTACTGATAGGTTGGGATTAGTGCATCATTTGTGCACGATCTTTTTGCGCTTTTCCTGGGAAATGCATCGCATTTTGATAATTTTGTAAAAAAAATGCACTTTGCGCACCCACAAGCAAGTTGGGCAATAAGTAAATAACAACACACATCGATTAACAGCTGATAAACTTCATCGGGATAGAAATGGCGGCGAGTTGAAAGTGTATTTATACTTTCTGGGACACCCTATAATATTAGGAAAAGATTTCCCGAATTTGTCAGTTTCCCGTTTTCTTTTTCTTTATTTAACGCCAGCTTCCACACTTGCGTATAATCGCACACCCACATACACCCAGTACAACACATGGGCCTAGACCAACGGCTTTACTTCCCTTCCGAAGGAAGACGTGACCAGAGATTTTAATGCCTCAGAAAAATCCAACCGACCTCAGCTGGGTTTGAACCCAGACTCATTGGGGTAAGAAAGCAGTCACGCTTACCACTACACCACCGGCGCCAGCTAGTTTCCCGTTTTCGTCAGTCTAAAATTTGAGAAAGGGCTGACAAAATCGGAAACGCACTGTATTCCTTTTAAAAATGGTGTTGCAGATACGTTTGAAATCAGCTTGCTAATAAACTAATCAATTCTTTCCTTGAGCCAAAAATGACAAATTTACTGATTTCAGGTGTATGCCTTTCCGATTTTTTTGATTCTATCGAATTTGCACTCGGCATAGAATGTTTTTCTGTTCAGCGCATAACAAATTAATGCATAATTTAGTTTTTGTTTATGCCAGAAAACCATAATTTGTCCTTTATAAGGTCTTAGTATACCAATCCAAGAACTGTTTTAGGTGTTATTGTCTAAGAACTGAATCTCCCAAGTAACATTTTAAGTTTTATGAAATACTACAAAGCAACTATAAAACAACATTCATAAAACCCTGGTCAAGGTATTAATGCAAACACCAAAACCTCATTAAGACTAGAATATGTCTAGTTGGCTCACTCTGAAGAAGGTTCTGAGGGTGTATTCTCGAAGCTCTTCAAGATTGATTTACTGCAAAAGGTTGTATGACGAACGCATTGAGAACCATTTGAAAGCTACAATAAAAGCTATTTGGCAACAATAAAAACCCTTTCCGAGCCATTTTTCCTAGCCGCATGCTTAAAACACTAGGAAAGTATGAATCAAGATAGAAAAGGATTTATGAATCCGATCTTATCCAAATAATTAAAATAGAAACTGATCGTATAAAAATCTTATTAAATATCCAAATTTATTACAATAGTTCTCCTTAAGTGGCCTAATTTTAAGTGCCATATTAAATTTTATGTGAAATGTATGTGGAAACATCGAAAAAATTAGGTCCACCCTCGTAAAACATCGACTTGACTAATTATTTAACATTGAAAAACAATATATATTCTTCAGATCGAGCTTGGCCGATACATTTGACGTAAGACTACGTCTGTGATTTCTATATGGGGGTAGACTTTGTGAAAACCGAAAATGGAACATGTAACAAAATTATGAAAGATTTTGAACGTGAATAACTCAGCTGCCCCTAGACCAATTTCAATAATTTTATCACCAATCGATCAGAAATAGTTCTACGCATCAATAACAATGCAACTGACTGTTCAAGAATCCTATTGAAAAGGTGGTAAATGTCAAGCATTGTCCAAAAAAATCCACCAAATTACGTACATGCATATGCTGCTTCCCCAACACAGTCATCAGAGAATCGTCTCTTGGCAAAACATGTCGAAGTGGCATTCGCCTCTGATTTTCGGGCGTGTGCGAATATGGAGGATGCAATTGCGTAACATTTTACCTTCCTGCACATTCGATTGCTGTCAATGGATGGCAATCGATGTCGGTCGTTGATTGGCACTAGATTGCGGAACAGAGACCGACGTTAAATAAAGGAAAGAAGAAGAATTGATACGTTTGTTGTTCTGGATGATAGAAGAGCATAGCAGAAATAGTGCGAAGTAGGATGGTTGCGATTCTGCTGTTCGACATTTTTGATGGACCACCAAA